AGGAGGGATCTGATTGGCTGCTGCTGGTCGTGATGTCACCCAGACCAGAGCTGATGAAAGCAGAGTCGCTTTGACCAGACTTGTGAACATTACATCTACAGATGATCTTTTCTCAACAGTGTTCAATGTTTTACTTTTAAAATTCAAAGTCAGGCGACTCTCATCAAGTCCATCAAATATAAATGCTAGATTGCATTCCTTATATAACTTTGTTTTCTCCAGGCCCTCCAGTTCAGGATACAATTCCAGCAGAAGCTTGTGGAGACTGAAATCTTCGTTGGTCATTAAGTTAATCTCTCTGAATGGAAGCAGGAACACACAGTGTATATTCTGATTGGCTTCTCCTTCTGCCCAGTCCAGGATGAACTTGTGCACAGAGACCGTTTTTCCAATTCCAGCGACTCCCTTGGTCAGAACAATCTTCTTCTCATTGTTTTCCCTTAATAATATAAATATATCATTGCATTTGATTGGTTTGTCCTGTGTTTGCTTGTTCTTGTTGAAAGCATCATCAATCTTCAGAATCTCATGTTCCTGATGAACCTCCTTCATATCTCCCTCTGTGATGAACAGCTCTGTGTAAACAGCCTTGAAATGTGCTTTTTCTTTGCCCTCAAAAATATTTTCTGCTTTCTTCTGCATTTTGGATTTGTGAGTTTCCAAGATTTTTTTCAGAATCAAATCTGCTGTTATAAAAGATGATTAAGTTAATAAAACATAGGGAAAATCAAGAACAGATTTATTTTTTAAAGAAACATGACAAAGCTGTTACTTTATCATATTCTCTTCAGAATTCATTCAACATATTGTAATTAAACTGCTTTTGAAAGTAACACCAAATATTTTAAATGTGCAAAGATGGTGCACATATAATACTTGAATGGGAGAAAGTGCAACACACAATATGGTGGAATAGTCCCGCTTCTAAATAAAAGAGCCGGTTGCTAATTGGTAAAGTCATTGCATCCCTGCAGCTGCAGTTACATATGGAAGCATATGGGTAGCATAATTCATTTTGAAATGTAATATGCAAAATAACAATGCAATATGTAAAATGGCAATGTTTTTCTGTATTTAAATGTACATTTTACCATACATATGTGCAATGTTTAGAGCAAAATTAAAATTAAAATTCAATTATATAATTTACATATTTTAATGCTTTATAATTGTTGCTGCTGCTATTGTTATCATGTACTTGCACTCAATTTGCACGTTACTGCACTATTGTTTTTTTTGCACATAAGTTAATACTGTACATTCGCATATGTAGATACCATATACATAGTCTATATTTCTATTTTCACATTCTATATTTCTACTCTATACTCGCATATATAGATACACATAGTCTATATTTCTATTTTTTTTTTCATAGTCTTTATTCCTACTACTGCAGCATAGTTTTTATTATTATGTTTCTTACATTGTATGTATGTGTGTATATGTGTATAGTTTGTGTATGTGTGTGTATAGCATTGCACTGTCTTGGCACTCATTGTGGACAGCAAAGTAAGAATTTCATTGCTCAGGGAAACTTGTTTTCCTCACTGGGCATATGACAATAAACGCTTTGAATCCTTGAATCCTTGAATCCTGAATAAGTTGCAAAACTAAAAGGAAAATGTATTACCCAAATTGATTAGATATGTTTAGCATGTCTAAACAAAAACTGTAGCAAAATTATCATTTAAATGCTGTTTTTCCTAAATGCATTTAGACTTACAGGCCGGACACTTGGGATTTAATTTTCATCATAATACTGCATGATAATTGTAGCAAAATGCAGTGAGAATTTCAGAATGCATTCTGAGGCAAAGATGCAGCAATAGGGTAGCAAAATGGTGATTTAAATGCCTTTTCTTTTTCTTAAATGCATTGACACTTACATATAAGACGTTTCAATAGCATTTTCATTTAATAGCATTTTCATCAAATCCCCCGCGATATTATAGTAATGGTGAATATTGACCTGTCGTGCGTCCTGTTGATTGACAGGTCGGGGGCGTGATCACCTCGGAATGCATTTTCAAATCCACATTGACAAATGTTAATTTTGCTACAGTTTTTGCTTGGACATGCTAAACATATCTAATCAATTTGGGTAATACATTTTCATTTAGCAAATTATAAAGTGTTAAAATATGTTTTTAATGTGCATATTAAAACTAGTGTAGGAAATGGCAAATGTAAATTATACAATTGAATTTTCATTTTGCACTAAACATTTGCACTAAACACATATGTATGGGGAAATGTCAATTTAAATACAGAAAACATTGCCATTTTATATACAGTATTGCATTGCCATTTTGCATATTACATTTCAAAATGAATTATGCTACCCATATGCTTCCATAGTTACAAGCTCCAGTTCCTTTAGAAACAGTCAGCATCCTGAGACGCTCTTAAAGGTCCCCTGAAGTGCCTTGAAACACGCAGCGTTATTCTATGTGGTGACATAATTTTAACTGAAACAGGAAGACAGGGTGGGACATATCGAGCAGCCCCGCCCCCTTTTAAAAATAGCCAATAGCGTTTTGTTTATATCTGCTCGGGCCAGAGCCGTTGAGCTCGGTAAAGCCGCATTTGACAGCCAGTCTAATAGATTACCCCTAGATTCAATATGAAACTCTTAGTAAAACAAAATAGTGGTCATAATCATGCTGAGTCTGTGTAGTTGTAAAAGTGTTTAATATATGCCGACTCGCGCATATGATCCGCTCCGTGCGATCGTGTCTCTGGACCGGAGCCAAAGTCCGGATCAGACTGTGCGTGCTGCCGCAGTTTGCGTGACACAACGTGAAACCAGACCTCATTTGCACCAATCAAAAGCATTTTTACACTATCTGAATCGTTCCCTATTGCCTACATTGTGCACTACGTGCCATTCACTGTACAGGGAATACTACACTGTGAACAAGCGACCGATCTCAGCCGCAGCTTCAGCG